GACTGGCCCAAGAATGGCATTAGACCCTTTCCCCCACATTACAGAAGGAGAGGGGAAATACACCAGGAGAGACTTTATTGGGATTAGGTTTCTGGCAGCTGTTTTTTGGCAAAAGACTGAGCTATTTTGTAAAACATCTAACTCGTATGTCTCTCTGAATTCTGGAACATCATTGGAGTACAAGTGGGCCAATCTTCCTGGACAGAGAGTTAAACAGCCTTGATTCTTGTAATTAATTGTATATCTTTCCAAGACCTCCATACAGAGCACGTTACCATAGCCTCTCGAGACTGAAGGATGCCTACAGTACAGAAGGAGAGGGGAAGTACACCAGGAGAGACTTTATTGGGATTAGGTTTCTGGCAGCTGTTTTTTGGCAAAAGACTGAGCTATTTTGTAAAACATCTAACTCGTATGTCTCTCTGAATTCTGGAACATCATTGGAGTACAAGTGGGCCAATCTTCCTGGACAGAGAGTTAAACAGCCTTGATTCTTGTAATTAATTGTATATCTCATAATAAATCTTTAGGAGTCAGAGCTGCTGATCCCTAGATTTCTAATAGATTAGACGTCGTCCCACAAAAAAAAAACACATTACATTTTCAAAAGAGAACATGCAAAGAAAAACAGAAAACACAATCAAATGCACAAAGTTACTTTATTTTACAGTATACATTTAAATTTGAAAAATATAAATGCTAAAATATCTCATCTTCTTCATTTCTTGATTCCATAAAAGACACAATAGAAAGCCTCATAAAACTGCAAAAATCCTATAATGTTATAATGATGAATTCATTTTTTTGACTTTTTCATATTACTGGGGGGAGGGGGAATCATTCATCAATTTGAAATGTTTTCTTCTTTTGGAAAAAAAAAACTTGTTTGTTCCATTGTGTTGATCTTCTTCATCTCAAAATAAAGTGGCTGTGTTTCTTTTTTTAATAAGTCATTCAACCAAAGCAAATACAGACTTTTTAATAGTTTTAAAATGAACAAACAACAAATAACAATAACAATATTAACAATAAAATGTATCTGAAAGTGCATCTTGATTATGAGAAATAATGCGTACACATATACCGTATCTGGGATGACTAAAGAAAGAAAATACAGAAAGTACAAAGAGAGACAGACAGTCATTATGTTCACATTGTACTTCCAAAAGGGCTTTGCCCCTCCTCACTCTTTAACGTTTCACTCAATTTTAGCCCTGAGCAGCAATATTTTTTGCAGAGCTTGGTTCTAAAGCTGGTCTCGGCAGCAAGCCTTTCCTATGGACATGGATATGACAAAGTGAGCTCCAGTCAAATAAAACCTGCTGGATTTTAAAGGTGTCAGTAGACAAATGAAGGGCAATCTGTTAGACTGAAAATACTATCAGCCTGAGTCAGGATGGCCAATGGCAAGGAAGGCTGGGGACTGCAGTCCAGCCACATCAGGAGGCTCACAAAGTTCCTCTCCCCATGGAGTCTTTGCTGTTTACCGTCTTTCCAAAGCGCCCACCCCCTGTATTGACTTCAATCCATCTCTTCCACTCTTAAGCCAACTCTCCTTCATCTCTATTCCACTGCCTTCTAGCCTTCCCAGGTGTTCCCAATGGCTTCTAAGGAAACCCCAGAGACCAAGGCTTGGAAGTGGCGGGTGGGGGTGTCCTCATTTGGACTAGCATTCCCCAAACCCTACCCCCTCAACCCCACAATCGAGGTCACAAGCCATGATCACTACAGAGTCCAAAGAATCCTTTCTACCAAGCTCTGCTCAATACAAACACCCAACATGCACATCTGGAAACCAACTGTGGACATGATTCTCCGTGGATGCAGAGTGGCACTGCTCTAAGGTGACAGCCCTGTGTGTGTGTTGGTATTGCCAATTAAATCACTCAAAAGTCTTGTGTCACAATAGAACTAGCAATAAAAGCTCCACGGGAAGCTGCTAATCCTTCAGTCGTGGCCTTCCTATTTCCTTACAATGCTATGAAATGGGCACAGAAGTCCGACTGGATGTTGAATGCAGGGCTGCAGACCACGAAGCACCAGGCACAAAATTGAATTGACTAATCCTGCACATCCAAGTTCTAAAAGATTACTATAAATAGACAGAAAGTACATAAAAAGTGATGTCAAAGACAGAAAAAGTGCACTGCAGCTCAAGCGGGTAGGCGGGGTGGGCTGAGGTTCAATCCTTTTCTCACTCGGAAGAAGTGAAGGAACCAAATTGTGGTAACTAAGTCCTGTGTGCTCCCTCTCTTGTGAAGGAGGCCACATCCTGAGTCAAATATGCCAGCCTGGTGGGCCAAACATCCTTTATGGGCCATACTGATATACAGCCAGAACCCAACTTTTCATTTGACCACCAGTACAACCCTACCGTTGAAACTAAGCCCTAAGACATGGCATTGGAGTATTCCCTGCATGCAGCCTGCATTGTGTAGGTTAGGATGACATAGCAAGTTAGTACTAAGCTGCATGGAAATCTTTTTTCCTCGTAAGAATGGGAATAGTTTCATACCGACCCAAAGTCTGCTCTGTTTTGCCCCACTCCCAATTACAACTAATTCAGTAATGGTGTAAGCTGGTCTCTTTTTCAAAGAGGGATTATGGATGAGTAAGGTTGGATTTTACATCATATAATAATAATAGTGTGCTATCAAGTCAATTTCAACTTATGGTGGCCCTTTGCCAGGTTTTTTTTTTAGGTAGAGAGTATTCAGAAATGGTCTCCCATTCCCTTCTTCTGTGGGCCATCTTAGGACTGTGCAGCTGGCCCAAGGCTACCCAAGCTGGCTCTACTTTCCAAGAGGCCCAGTGCAGAATTGAACTCGCAACCTCTAGCTCTGCAGCCAGATACAGTGGTGCCTCGCATAGCGAGGTTAATCCGTTCCGGATTAACCTTTGCTATAGCGAAATATCGCTGAACGGGACAGGGAAAGCCATTGGAACGCATTAAACATCGTTTAATGCGTTCCAAAAGGCTCCTTTACTCACCGTTCAGCGAGGTTTCCTATGGCCGGCAGCCATTTTTGTGCCCTCGTTAAGCGAGGGGAGGGCGCGAAAACGCTGCGTGCGGCCATTACGGAGCTTACGGCGGCCATTTTGTCCGCCGAACAGCTGATCGTCGGGGCTTCGTTTTGCGAAGATTGGTAAGCGAAACGCTTACCGATGTTTGTAAAGCAATTTTCGGCCATAGGGCCCATCGGTGAGCGATCGCATTAGCAATCCAAAAAAACGGATCGCTATGCGATTTCGTCGTTATACGGTACGCTCGTTAAGCGAGGCACCACTGTACTGAAATCACTGAGCTATCCAGCCAGTTATCTACACCGTAGACATCATATAAAATATTCATTTTTTCAACAACCACCTGTATGCTTTTGTGTCCCGTTCCTACATAAAACTTGGCTCCACCAAGACCTGAGAGTCCCCCATCGATTTGAAACTGGAAGAGGTGCAGTTTGGGCAAGGAACACAATCACAGCTGTTGTAACAAACTAGGGCCAACCTTTCCCCTTGTGGAAGCCAAAGGATACACACAAAAAGTGCTTCCCCCTCCACGTGGTTCAGATATTTAGGGTCTATCTCTCCATTACACAGATTGCTTTCAATAGTTAATTCTTTTATCCCAGGTAGGATTCTGGCCACAGTGGGGAAATGGGAAACTCCAATACAGAATTTTCTGCACCCTCACCACACAGTATTCTCAAAGAGCTTCAATAAAAGGAAGCTGTGCCAGTTAAATCAGTACCAAAAAAAACCCCTATCCCCGTACCAATTTAAGCTCTAAATAGGCCTTCGGGCCAGTAGTTTAAAACAAACAAATAAATAAGTCACACACAGCCAAGCAATACTAACATCAGGAACTCATGAAATCCAGCTTCTCAGCTGCCTGTCTCACATCTTTTTCTACTCTGCCCCTTCAGACTGAAGTGGTATAAATAAATAAAACAGAAATCTTTGTCATCTACTCCCAAAAAAGTGGGTCTCTTGATATGACCAGCCATTGCGTTCAACAGTCGAAACTTGCGGCCATGAATTCAAGTATATTTAATGCGTTCAGGAGTGAAGATCCTTGTTGGAGGAGACTGACCATTAAGAACTACAAAACGGTGAAAATCCTCTTTCTCTGTGTGTATATATACATGCAAGTGTGCAAATCTTATACTGGCGTGTTGCTTCTGCTGTCATCCTCTGATACATTCTCACTCTTTGTCATAAACCTGGAGGCGCTCTCCACCAAAGCCAGGAGTTCAATGCACTTAGGATCCCATACAGCAGATAATGATTCCAAGAATTCAGCGTCATCATCCTGACAGGCAAAACACGGGTGAATCCAAGACATATCATGCTGTTGGAGACCTATGGCCCATAGCAACCTCTATAAGATCATCAAGAAGGGCCACACTGGGTGAGACCAAGGGTTGATCTATTCCAGCTGTCATAGAGTAGCCAGCCCCTTCCCTGTAGGAAGCCCACAAGCAGCACATGAACCTAATGGCACCCATCCCATGCATACTTCTCAGAAACTGGTTTAAAGAGGAACACTGCCTGGGATACTGGAGGTGACTGAGAACTATCCTGATTAGTAGCCACTGACCTATCCTAGATGAATTTATATAATCCCCTTTACAGCTGTTCAAGCTGGCAACCACCACTACACCTTACTGCAGTGCCTCCCACATGTTGGGTAAAGATAGTCTTCCTTTATCTCACCTGAATCTCCCACCATTCAGCTTTGCAAGTTGACCATATGGATATGTCCAAAATATGAATTACCATAGTTTTCCATTTATAAGATGCCCTGATGTATAAGATGACCCCCACTATTCTAACCCCAAATTAGAAAATTTGATCGCTGCTTTCCCCGCCACTTCCTAAGCCTGGGGCTTAGCAAAAGGAGGGGGAAAGCAGTGATCAAAGCACAGCAGGATAGCTTTGATCCCTTCCCCCCCTCCACTTGTTTTCGTTCTCTACTCAGCTTACTTTCGTGTATAAGACGACCCTCAATTTTTAGTCTAAAGATTTTAGACAAAAGTAACATCTTATACACAGAAAAATATGGTACTTGATAGTTCATGGATAAATTAATGGACATTTTAGATTGCCGGTGCAAACATACCCGCTGTCAACAAAATGGCCCTAAGCCAAAAGGAGATGATGCGTGCAGATCCAGCCTCTGCAACATCCCAACATACCGTCCACAAAACTCAACAGAGCTTTACACCTCCAAGCATCCACTGATGTCCACAGAGGTTGTCTAAACAGTGGTCATTGCTTACTGCATCCCTTTAAGAGAGCAGATCTTTCTGCAAACCCACCTTGTGTCTCAAATTCTTGACGGAGCCACAGACTGCAGTTAGATGGCTCATAGCACACCTGTGTTGCCGAGATGGGAGTTCCTCAGAGCTGCATGCCAGAGCGATCAAACTAACAAATGAAGCCCGTGTTTACCCACCTAACGACCAATCATGAGATTTGCAAGATGTGGAGGTAAAAAATGTTCATGCTCAGTTGAGCAGAATTTTTTACGGGAGCTCGGCTTCTAAATGCAAAGCTGTCTCATGTAAGCCAGCTTCTAATTATTGTGCTGGTCAGCAAACATAGCACCCATCCTATTTTTCCTTCACTGTGTTGTACTCTTGACATAATTACATTTGGAATTGATCTTGTCAAACCACGTAAATATTTGGGCATTTTCTTTTTGGTTTGTCAGTGGTGGAACATCACATTTGAAATTGTCTCTCCGCATAATTATTCTCTGCACATAGAAAGGGAGAGGACACATTCCCTAGGCTCATCTAAATCCTGAAGCCTACCAATACTCTAAGCATCTACCCACAATGCAGGAAGGTTCTGGTGGGGAAAATGTTCAAACCCACAAACCCTGCATGCAGTCAGAAAACGATGCCTTTTTAACTCACACAGTTTTGTTTTGGAAGCATTACAGGAAAAGAAAAGAGAGTATTATTGTTTCAATTATTATGCTGCCCTATAGTGCTAGAGCACTCTCTGGGCAGTTTAGAACATAATTATACAAGGAACAGTTTACTGCCCAGTGACCTGCGTCCTCCTTTTACCAACCTCAGAAGGGTGGAAGGCTAAGTCAACCTCAAGACAGCTACCTGAATCTGTTGGGATCAAACTCAGATTGTGCGCGGAGGCTTGGCTGCAGTAATGCAGTTTAACCACTGCGCCACAGGGTATAAATATAGCCTCGTCATCAACCTTCCCTGATCAAGCTGGAATCTAAAGATTTGCTGGGCAAGAATTAAGAGAGATTCAGACTGACAATTAAGACTTTTTAAAAAACCATTTCCGCTCCCTTTGGCTTCACTTCGTTTTATATTGAATTTGAATGTGCACACACAGAGAGAGAGACAGAGATGGGTGCCAGAAAATGTCTATAGATGAAATAACGTTAACATTACAGGACATGAATATCAACACCTGATTATAGTCTGCATCTGTTTATGCCCCGATGCTCATTTCTGTCTGAAGGAAATTCACACCTTGCTGCTACTGTGTCTGCCCTACTTCATTCCAACAGTGTCTACACAGGAAGTCTGCAGACAGCGTAGCAGCACTTCTTAGCAGACTAAACTGGAAAATGTGATTTCTTCACTGTGTGGCCAGATTGTTCAGAAAATATTATAAGGAAGGAAGGAAGGAAGGAAGGAAGGAAGGAAGGAAGGAAGGAAGGAAGGAAGAAGGAAGGAAGGAAACGTAGGCATTTCCAATGAGACATGTTAATATAGCTGATTTCAGTTCTATGCTGTATATCCTTGAGATTGTGTATTTTTGTCTTTTTTGTTCTTTTTTGCAAAAATCACATTATATAACATACTATACAATTATTATTATTATTATTAAATCTTCTGACTTCTTTTTTGATTTTTTTTCCTTTTTTAAAGAGAAAGTCCGACATCTAGAAATAAGAGGTAGAACTACTCAAATCTATACGTTTCCTGCTGCAGGAAAAAGAATTCATTTTCTTTACAGTAATTTTTTTTTAAAAAAACGGTTTAAAAAATTGACAAAAAATATAAGTCGCAGGTTAGGCCCCCATAATTTAAAACAAAAGTTATCTAAGAAGAAAAAACTGTCTATGCAGTTGACAGATTAAAGAATCTGTTAAGAGTGTCAGGAGAATAAATGTTGCATAGGACAGGGTTGATTTCACACAATCACAGCAGTGACGGTAAGAAAAGTCAGTCTGTGTGAAAAGTACCATATTTGTTTCATGTGCTTGACACTAAAAAAGCAGAGGTGGTGTTAAGAGTTTGTTAAAATTAGCAGCATTTTTACAAGAGTACTGAAGTATGGGGAATTAGCCTAGAGGTCAGTTTTGTTCCTGCTAGAAACAGATTTAAAAAAACAATTACCAGGAATAAAGAAAAACACTGATTCACCACTTTAAAAAAATAATAACAGTTCTGCTGACATTTCACAAAGCCGTGATAATATATCCTTAATACTTCCGCCCTCCAGTGTGAAACTCCAGAGGAGAACAAACGTACGCATGTGATTAAGAAGGCAAAAACCGAAGAAAAAGTCTCTTGGTCGGAACAAAAGGGAGAAGAAAAATGAGCTGAGCAGAAAAATATACAAGCAGGTGGGTGTGCAGAGGAAATGGAAGGAAAGAGTTGACGAAGAAAGAGGTTTTTATCTACGCAGAGGGGCATTTGGCTAGCAATTTGAACTGGGGGGGAGGGGAGAGAAAATGAAAAGAAAAAGCCAGCTCAGTCGAAAGAAGGAAGTTACAAAGTCGTTTCTGTTCCCTTGCTCCTCCAGAAATAACCATTATCTTCAGGATCAAGCTCTATTCTAATTTGAGGCACAACTTTCATTGGAGTTCGTGGAAGGCTAGAGAAAAGAGAAAGAAAAAAAAACCTCATCAAACAGAATTTACACGTCCAAGTTCTCTTCTACAAACAAGGTCAAGACTGAGTTAATGACAGTGCCAAGGAAACTCTGCCATGGCGGTGGGTCAACATGCTAGGAAAAATGAGGGAATGCACAGAAGGAAATGGGTCCAGATCACATCTTGGACATGGTGATTTCTTGGGCTACAGTTCCTCCAGCTAGCCATTGTCGGCAGGGCCATCTAGCTGGCTGGAAATAATCCATTAAAATACAGTGGGGTCTTGACTTCAGAACGGCTTGAGTTAAGAACATTTTGACTTAAGAACCACTCTCATAGGAAAACATTGACTTGACTTAAGTACTTAGATGGCGGTGGGTCAACATGCTAGGAAAAATGAGGGAATGCAAAGAAGGAAATGGGTCCAGATCACATCTTGGACATGGTGATTTCTTGGGCTACAGTTCCTCCAGCTAGCCATTGTCGGCAGGGCCAGTCATCTAGCTGGCTGGAAATAATCCACTAAAATAGTTTTTTCCAAGCTTTGCCCCTGCTCAACAGCACAGTTCTGTATTTTGAATGTCTCTCTTTCACCAGTGATGGTTGTCAATTCCAACTCTAGCAAATACAGTGGTGCCTCGCAAGACAAATGCCTCGCAGGACAAAAAAAAAACTCGCAAGACAAATGGTTTTGGCAATGGGGTTGATGACTCGCAAGACAAATGTTCCTATGGCCGTGCTTCGCAAGACGAATGTTTTCCATTTTTTAAAAATATTTTTCTATGATGTTAAAAAAGTTAGTTTTTTGATAGAAATTTTTGAAATTATCTGCACAATATGTATGGCTTTAAAGAGCACTTAATAAACCCTTTGTAAACCAAATTTGACTTTGTTCTGACTTTTTTTGCCCATAGGAACACATAAATTAGATTTCAATGCATTCCGATGGGAAAACACGTTTCGCAAGATGGATTTTTCACAAGACAACATTAACCTGCATTTCCCATTAAATTCGTCTTGCGAGGCACCACTGTATAAAGAGTTCCGTCCTTTCATGAGTAAGAAGGCAAATACTTACTTTAACGTAAGCAACACTTTAATACAAATGGTCTCAGTTGTGCAGAATTGCATTGGCTTTTAAGAAGATGGAACACTTGATCTTGGCAGAGTTATGTGAAGATCGAAGAAGGTTGGGGGTTGGCTTATTTGTAGCCAGAGGGCAAATATAGCAAACAGTACGTATTCTGCACTGGATTTTCAGCCTATCATTTGCACGAGCTATGGCTGCTTTATAAACAGTGTTTCTGTTCTGATCAAGAATTCATAAAGGTCCTTACCTTGGCATTGTATGGGCATGGAGGTAAGGAATTTTATCAGCATGATGTATGGCGTTCAAGGAATGTTGGTGATTTTTCTCCTGTTTAGAATTAAACAAAAACATTCATTTCAGATACTTCTACCATGATTTTTTTAATGAATATAATTGAAGGCAACAAAAATGAAGCCTCCTTTTATTGTTCCAGCCTGTACAGGTTCTTGTTTTGATGTGGTCATAAGAGAACAAATGTAATACACCTGCTCAAAATGGAACAGCACGACTGAAAAAGCGACCCAAATCATACGACTACAGCAAGTTGCTAAATTCTATGTATGTGCAATTAAACTTCCAGCTGTAATGAGCTGAATGATTAGTGTGGCTGTCAAATATCCAGTTGAATCTGAGATTAATGACATGTCTGGATGGGATAAATTTCAAGAAGATTTGGCTAGAAGACAGAAGGCCAGGATAACAAGATGGTACAAAAAAGAAGATATAGTTGTGTAACAGGGACCTGTCTAGTCTAATGTGGTTGCAAATGATTCCTGTAGAGACAGACATTGTGCGTGTTGGGGAGGGGAGCAGAACTGTATCAGAATAGCATTTTAAAACCTGGGATAGATAAGAAGCTTGGTAGGCTTCAGATCTGGATGAATTGCAAATTAATCTGGACTGATTTGGACGCAATTTGGGACATGCCCAGATTGACTGATTGATTGACTAATTGATTTGTTCGTTAGTTAGTTAGTTTAATATCTTTCTCCCAATAAGAAGACCCACAGTGGCTCACAATATTAAAAAGAACAGAATTAAAAAGATAATAAATTTTTTAAAAAAATTAAATGATACACTAATTAAAACATAATTGAATAATTAACATTGAAACTATCTAAATTTTAAAAAGGCATTCAGGGACTCAATCGTGATTGTTAAAAGCCTGCCGGAAAAGGTGAGTCTTCAGCTGTCAGTGGAAGGATAAAAGGGAGATGGGCCAGCCGGATCTCCCGAGGGAGAACGTCTCATACCCTGGGAGCTACCACAGAGAAGGCCCTCTCTTGCATCCCCCATCAGCCGCTGGCAGTAGGACTGAGAGGAGGGCCTTCATATGGAAAGATACAGTTTTTCAGATAGCCTGGACCCAAGACTGAAACAAGACACCTTCTAAATGGACTGGACCCAATTCTGAACATTCCTGAAGATATCCTTCTCTTATCAGTTCAGGAGTTCTGGGGGCCACGGAGATATCGCCAATGTGCCTTCAAATATAGGCACATTTCGCCTCCAACGCTTCATTTACGAAATACACTAGGCTGTATGGGGGGAAATGGGAAGCGGATACCTTTGCAAGCGGATGCTCTAGCACCTAAATGCAGCAAATGGTTTTATCAAGGCTCTCCAATCCCACTACTTTGAGGAGGAGATGTCAAAATATGTCAGAGGACTCATCCACCATTTAGTATTTATTAGCTTTCTCTTCCAAGAATAAGAAAGTTAAAAGCATTTGGATAGATGCTGTGGGACTCAGGAGAACATAGCATTGGCTAAGTGGATGGGAAATGCAGGACATTATTCTGCTTCTGCTTCACATCCATACAAGACACCTTCTAAATGGACTGGACCCAATTCTGAACATTCCTGAAGATATCCTTCTCTTATCAGTTCAGGAGTTCTGGGGGCCACGGAGATATCGCCAATGTGCCTTCAAATATAGGCACATTTCGCCTCCAACGCTTCATTTACGAAATACACTAGGCTGTATGGGGGGAAATGGGAAGCGGATACCTTTGCAAGCGGATGCTCTAGCACCTAAATGCAGCAAATGGTTTTATCAAGGCTCTCCAATCCCACTACTTTGAGGAGGAGATGTCAAAATATGTCAGAGGACTCATCCACCATTTAGTATTTATTAGCTTTCTCTTCCAAGAATAAGAAAGTTAAAAGCATTTGGATAGATGCTGTGAGACTCAGGAGAATGTAGCATTGGCTAAGTGGATGGGAAATACATTCTTCTGCTTCTGCTTAACATCCATCACCCAAGCTTGTTCTACAACACTTGGTGATGGCTGAGAACAGAGTTGTATCTGATGACAGTTGAGAGCTGCATAAAGAAAGGTCTAAAACTGGTTTTCATACCTCATCATTCCCTAGCCTCTGTTTCTATCCTTCTGAAATTTTGGAGGTTTCTAGGATATGTCATTATCGTACAAACTGCTGAAAGAGGAAGTGAATCCTCCACCATCTGAACACCGCCTTTTCACAAAACATACTCCACCTAGCCCCAAATTCGGCTCCCGTAATCCCCTCATTTAGTGGCATTGTACCTAATGCACAGATTTTTCCCTGTATTTTCCATACACGTGTTGCCCACAGGAGTTATTCCACAAAGATTCCCCGGGGAGGCAGATATTAATTATAAAAAGTATTACAGGAAATGAGTCTTAACCCCACTGGAATGCTGGTATTTTGAGGCAAAAGGAACACCTCACTGGCATGGAATTTGGGAAAGGCTACTGCAATGGAGACAGTAAGATTTTTTTCAATGCACTGATAATTTTGCTTACACCACGTTTACCCCGGGTGAGAACTTGGAAACATTATTCTCCAAAAGAGAAACATTTCTAAGCTTTGCCCCAGATCCAAGGATGTTCTTCGATGGCACGAAATTTATGTGATACCGTCCCCCTGCTTACTGTATTTAAATGTCCTCGTACTTACCTTTTTCCTATTTACCCACCCAATCAATATCATGCAATTGGTGCATCTATTAGCCCCGTCTTCCACCCTCCGCCTGCTTCCAGGCCCCAAGCAGACAGTGTGCATGTGGTCTAATGATTACAACTGTGTAACAGTTGAACCACAAAGGCACAGAACTGCATTCAGTTTTGAAAAACTGAAGCATTGAATGTTCCCATCACCACACATCCAAAAGGATATTCTAGAGGGGGGAAAAGGCAACTAAAATAGTTAGGGGAAAGATTGCAACATTTAGGCCTTTTAGCATAAAAGGAAGGCAAGTAATGGGGATAGGGTAGAGGTGTATGCAGCTAGGCATGGTATGGGGAGCGATGGCAGGGGAAATCGTTTCTAGCCTCTTTGGCAATACCAGAATCAAAGGATAATTATTGAAGCTGTCAGGTGAGTGATTTGAGACAGACAAGAGGAAGCACATGTCACACTGCACCTACTCGAAGGGTGGAATTTCTATCACAAAATGTAGAGGGGGTGCCAATATGGGCAGCTTTAAAAGCAACTGGAAAGGTTCATAGAGAGTGGCTAGACAATCCCGGATTGTTACACTTCACCTTAACTCAGATGAAGCCTGCACCCTGGGCATTCAAACAGAGAGCAAGAGAGACCACTATCCCCCACCCCTTACCAGACATAATCCCCAAATTCTAAGCGTTCAGTTCAAAAGACAAGTCTGTGGCCTCTGTAGAAGCTGAAATATGAAGCAAAACCTTCACCCACCATTCTGTACGTTCATTATGTATTCAACTAGCCTGCTTCTAACTTCCAAGTGTTTCGGCCAGTCAGTGAAACAACATCTCATATGCTCACTGTTCAGCATTCTCATGTTCTTTCCAATCCTAACAGGAGGAAATGTGCAAATTCTGACAAGTTCAGCTGCAAAGAAATTAGCTGCAAAGAAATTCTCACCCATCCATACCTTCACCTTCTTTCATATAAAAGATGTCTAGTTCCCATTTACCAAGGGAGCTCAGTATTTTAGCCACTGATCCTTTTTTGCTCCATGAATTTTTCTGATCCATTTTTAGAGTGAATTCCTTAAGTGAATTCTATAACATGTTGAAATTATGCATTTAACAAAGGACAATTCTCATATCGGATCTATGTGATACACCACCACCCACCACCTCCAAAACTATGCCGGACTATTCTAGCTTGTTGCTTTCTTGCTTATGTACTTATTTAATATATTTATATGCCACAGACTTAATGAGAAGCACTACTCTAAGTGGTTTACAACAAGGTAGTAGACAGAAACCTCAGCCATCCAACAAACCAACAGAAAACATATCTAAGTGGCCACATAAAAACCATCATAGCTTTACATTTATTTCTGAATTAACTGGCCACTAGGATAAGTTTGCACAAAGTAATCTGTGCATCCGTCTCTGATTCAGCTCCTAGAAACCACAATATTATTCAGCAATGAGCTTTATATTATTCCTCCTACAGAGCAGAGTATGCACCAACCTATATAAGAATAAACATCTGCCATTGCCTTTGAGGCTCTATTCTTTTCAAGAAATATAGAGAAACAGGAGATGGGGAGGGGAGGAAAAAAGAGGTAATGGTGATGGGTGTTGCATGTTTTTTTAAAATGAAAAATACAATCACACGGTGGATTTTAGCACTAAAACCAGAGAAGAAGGAACTCTAGCCACCTAAAGGAAGACAAGCATGTTAATAGCGCTAAACGACTGACATGAAAATCTCTTTTTTTTAAAAAAAAAGAAAGGACAAGGTGGACATAAATTATGTATAAGATCTGATTGTTTTAATTAAAATATTTGGCAGTTGAGCAGAGATCCTAAGGAAACAAACAGCAAGAGACAGTGGCGGTGCTTCCACAGGGGTGCAAACAAGATTAGCCAGCAAAGAGGTGGGAAACTAAAGGAAACCATTAGAGAGAAGTTAGAAGGTGTGTGCATCCACAAGTGGAAAAATATAAATTGTGCAAGAAACGGGCGGAACAATTTGGAAGGTTAGAAAGAGAGAGAGAGAGAGAGAGGAAACGCAAGCGATCACTGTTAGCAGCTGGATAAAAGCAGTTAAAAGTGGAGACGCAAACAAGAAAGGAGGGGAAAAAGCAGTAGAAATCCACATGACATATATTTTTAAAAGCAAAAATAGTTCTTAGGAACCAGCAAAAAATTTAGCATGCTGAGTAAGAAGCCTGTTTTGTAAAATGAAAAAAAAAGAAAGAACAAAGAAAAGAATATTGGGGGGAAAAGAAACATCTACAGAACATTTTTTTAAAAAAATATTAATATGATAAGTATATATAATTCTATATTTGCTTTTTGGAAGTGCAATTCAGACGGAAGCAGGCATGCAAGATGTTAGTTCTACTCACTGTCAGAAGGTTTGCTATCACTTAGGAAAGGTTCCTGTTCCATGATGTCCATTGGAATTTTAATACTTGGGACATTTTCTGAGTAGGGGCAGTCAGACTGTGAAAGAAACGTGCACAAAACTTCTTAGAACGTGTCCATCTGGCTCACACTGTCTTTCTCTCTCTTACTATCCCCCATAGACCATCTACAGAGCACAACAGCACAGTTCTGACATTTGAAGGGCTTCATACCACTTCGCCATTTTTTTTTTAACCACAGAGGTCCATTCGGCAACCCAGCCACCGGCCGCTGCAAGCAGTGAAGGAAATAACAACATACAACGCACTTCAGTGTGATTTAGTGTTGCTTGATTAACAAATGCAGGTCGAATGAAGCCTCCGAACCTTTAGAATAACAGGGGTGCAGATTTACTGTTTACCATGTTTATCCTTTTGTTTCTGCAAGGCGCTCAAAGCAATGGGCGCGAGGTCATGATTTCTGCATTTCAGAGAAGAGTTATTCAACTGCCAGAAAGGAATACTATTCTGCTAATAGGACCAAAACAACAGGCTTTGTTATAGTTCCATAGGGTTCAATAAAAAGGGTTCAATACTAAATTGAAACTAGGAACTAAAGCTAGTATCTTGTTTGGAGCGCAGACTCTCTTTCACACAACCAATCTCACAACTGGTTGCATGACTAAACGTCCAACCAGTGCAATACCAGACATGCAACAGGAGCTTACTGGAATGTGGGGAAGTTACACTTACCCAAACATTCCTCCATGATGATGCAACACAACAAGATTCAAGCCTAAGGCTCCTCTTGCATAGCTAAGCCAAAGGCCTAACTTTGGGAGTCAAACTGTCCCATCTTAGGGAATCACCAAGACGTTATCGGTTGCACACTGAGCCACACAACTCAGTATGCTAAGATTTCTTACCTTGCGACAATTTAGCTCCAAGAGTTGTGTCGTTTGTGTTACATCAGTATAACCAGGCAAGATCAGTCGGGCTTTTATTTGGCAGGCTTAGGCCAAATAAAACTGATTTGTAGCACAAGATCTTTTGTTGCAACACCCTATCATGCTGCTCCGCATGTATTTCCTTGTGCTTCGCTACTTAGCACAGAGTGGCAAAAATCGCTTCTGCAATGTCGCAACCAACTCCTGAAAAGAATTCAGGTGGTCCCTGCTAGAAATCTGGATTGAACCAGGATTTCCAATCTGGAGTTGAATGATGTAGTGGTGGAGCATGACTCTACAACATGACTCAACAAATCTACTGGTGGGGGGGTGAGTGGGGAGGTGGAACAGGGCTAATTTTAAAGACGGAGGCAGAACGATTTAAAAGGCATTGCCATTTCCTGTTGTAAAAAGCCTTGGAATCGGTTTAAGTGCAGGACCGGACACAAATACTGAGACATAAATTGCACCCCTGTAAATAAAAATATGAAGCATACAATAAATAATGAACCATTCAGCCCAATGCCTGTCTCTGGATGGTCACTTGTCCAGTTAATCAGAGGGGCACAGCGGCTAAATGGCACATGGACGCAAAGCAGTTATTTCCAACATCATCCCCTCTTCCAATGAAGATATGCCATTTAGGGCAAGTAAGTTTCAAGTTGGCTTCATCCTTGTTAATTTCAAGAATTATTCGTGTGGGGGGAAAGAGTGCAAATAAGAAGAAACCGCATGTGTGTCATCACCACAAGTGCCCTGAAATATTTGGCTCAACTGGAAACCAAGATGATAAGCGACAAGTAAACTTTGAGAGCCTTTTAAACAACAACAACAAAAAGCACAGCTTCCTTAACTAACTCAGTAATAGAGCTTCCCGAAATGCTCTTTAATATGAAATGACAGCCAGGCGGGGACTCTTGCCAACCAGCTCCTCTTGTGGTCAGCAGTAGCCTTTCTCACACTAGAGTCTGGCCACGGAGTGCTGTTTAGTGACCTCTAGAATAGAGTGTGTATTGTCCTTTATGCCAAATAAAACAAATGTAAAAAAAAAGACACTTGTGGAAACAAACAGAATCACCCGAATATAATGGTTTTCAGTGACAATATTTGTGCCAATAAAGGAGACTGGTTGAGGAAGGCCAACCGGGCCCAAACTTATTTAGCCTTCCTGAAACACTGGCTACTGAGTGTGTCTGTTGTTCTAGTTGTTTTAACCTTTCTTGTGTTATGCTACATGGCCGATATGGATGATATCTTTGCATCATAAACTTATCATCCATTGCACATCTAGTAAGTTTTATCGGAGTGCATGCCATAATATAGGTGCTCTTGTTTTTAGCTTCTGTGATTTGTTTTAACTGTTTGGTATAATCCAGAAAGAACAAAGAGAAGGCTGTGTGGTCCCCAAGATTACACAAAAGAAAGAGTTGGTGATACCTTTGGTTGGACCACTAGAAATTAAACAAATCAGAAGCTTTGGTGGATAAAAATTCTATTTCTTCGGGCTTAGCACAACTCCCCCGTGGATAGTGCAAAGAAATTGGAGACAAACGTCTAGATACTGAGGCTACACGTCTGTGAGAGGTGATGTAAGTCCTCTCGTGTGGGTAAAAAAAAAAATTCCAACCAGATGACAAAGCTGCTCAAGACAGAAGCCTCAAGTAGACGTCTATCATCTCTCACAGATATGTACCATTAATTTCTGGACTTTCATCCAGAATTTCTTCACACTGTGAACATGGTGTGGGGATGATGGTGATACTCAACTCTTGGTGGATGGACTCCCACCTGAAGGCACAAAGGTGACACTGTTCTTATTAATACACTGGATGGGAAAAGAACTCAATGAATTTTAAGGCACATGGTCAGGTTAGCGTAAAAGTACAAGACTCTCTGCAAAGATGAAAAAACACGAAGTTAGGATGTACCAAAAGCCACACTACAGAATCCTTGGTTTGCCGTTTCATGACGGGACCACCAAAAGCCGATAGAATACAGAATGCATTTCAACATGTCGACATGTTTGTTTACAAAAAATAAATAGGTAAATAAACAGGAACCCTCCCCCGAAAAACGAATGCTAGGAAAACATTTTCTGTTCGGTAGTGAGCATCACTGCCAAGGTGGTGCTGTTTCCTTCCATATCCTGAAAAACAAATTAATAAAGAAATAAAGGGGGATGGGAAACAAGAGTTGGGAGTGACTGAATACATAAGAAGCAGCAGGAGGAGGAGGTGTTAAAACATTTCAGTAGACTTCGATGAGGGGGAGGAAATAAAGATCTTGAAAATTAAATTATCTTGCAGTAAGATGAGAACGGGAACTTACAATGCAAAAGCCTATATGATATGAACAACGTATTTACCCACTACTGCCCTTAGAGGCCTATGTTTACGTACATGCATAAGTCTGTGAATTAGGTGAACAGTCAGGGTCATGGAGAGCAACAGTTCTTTTCACTGCAGTGACTGGAGAAAAAGCGACTGCAGGGATAGGAGATTTTGTCCAGCCCTTGTTCCAGTTCCCTGCTTGTGGGTAAGAACCAACTAACCGGCAGGGACACCAAGCAGCCCATGCAAGAGATTGCTTGCATGTGCAAAAAAAATTACAGAGTGACCATGCCTTCTGAAGTGGACTGGAAAATGCAGGCGGGCAGGAGCCCTATGGGACCAGCGTCAGACCAATCAAACTGCAAAAGTAATCCCCTTGGGGGCGATGGCCATTTGAGGAATTTACTTCAGTTGACTCATGCAAACAGAAAGAATGGAGGTGATACAGGGTGTGATAATCCCGATGCAGCCAGACAGATGTGAGGTCACTCGTTTTTGGCTGAACACGCAAAACCCTTCATGCCCAGAAAGGAAAATTTCGAGGCTCTCCAAACAGGTTGTATATACAGCTAAAGCCGTATCAGTTCTCTTTCAAAGTTTGCGTTTTAGTGTTATAATCCTACACTGCCAGCCAATGCAGAAGTATTGGGGGGGGGGGATTCCCATGTGAGTCTACTCAATGTACGTAGCACAGGAAAGCAGCAGAGAAACAGAGATGGTTCAGGTAATGGTGATAAAAGAGCAGGGTGATGCAGGCAGCAGAGGTCCAAATTCGTTTTAGGGAGAATAGAAGCACAACCTGCTAGACAGAGTTCGTGGCAAACAATCCTGCAATGTAATTGAAGCTGTAAAGTAAAAAAAAAGATGAATTTCCCCATATGATGGAAATCTACAGAAGCTCCTCTCATTTTTCTGTCTGTCCCCTCCACTGCTCGGAATCCCATTCATGAATCCCTGTCTGAGCTTTACAGCTACAGCAGGCATTACCCGTTTCAGGCAGGCAGCATCTCTCTCATCCGACAGCAAAAACACCAGAGCTTGGAAGTTACATTTCTGGATCCCATTTCCCAGAATTCTCTAGGTAGCAACAACCAGGCTGGCTGACGGATTCTGGGAGCAGGGATCCAAAGCCATCCTACGCTTCCATGTTCTTTAAAATAGGCACCACCCCTAGTTCCAGGGATTGCAAGGTGTGTTATCAAAAGCAGCCTTGCTATCTGTCTGTAGTGTCCCTATTACTCAAGAACGTTCAACTTCATGAGGTGGAACGGGGTGAAGTAAGAGGGTTGCAAGTTGATACAGTCCGAACCTGCAGAGCTGCCGCCAGCTCGCCCGCTGAAAAGCCAAAAAAAACATGTTTGTTAAAATGGTGAGAAAGGTCTTACGTCATCATTGTCACTATCCAGGCTTCCCTTCTTCTTTTTCTTCTTTTTCTCATCCTCTTTCTTCTTCTTATCCTTTTCTGGAATGACGTCATCAAGGAAACTCAGGTCGTGCTGGGAGAAGAGGTAGTCCATGGCCTTTCTGACTGCCACGAGTGCCAAGATCTATCAAGACAGAATTTAACATTCCCTTACGGGCATGCCAGCGTTCCCACACCTGCGATGTTTACCTTCTTGGCCCTCTCCAATCCTAAATCAGGGTCGTCTGTTAGCCATCAAGTGGCAAAGAGAGGGTTAAAGGTAAAGGTGAAGGTTCCCCTTGACATTTAGTCCAGTCGTGTCCGACTCTAGGGGGCGATGCTCATCCCCGTCTCCAAGCCATAGAGCCAGCGTTTCCGTGGTCACGTGGCCAGCGCGACTAGACACGGAACGCCATTACCTTCCCACTGAGGTGGTACCTATTTATCTACTCGCATTTTTACAGGTTTTCGAACTGCTAGGTTGGCAGGAGCTGGGACAAGCGATGGCAGCTCACTCCGACATGTGGATTCGATCTTATGACTGCTAGTCTTCCGACCTTGCAGCACAGAGGTTTCTGCGGTTTAATTCACAGCACCACCACATCCGTTAGCCACACTCTAAATCTAAGCAACTATTGGAATCAACTCAGGTTAGGATGAAATGGAAATCTTTGCTGCTCTGATTTGAGTTTTCGGTTCACCCTCGTGAGAAGATAATGTTATCCTGCTTAATATGATACTATCTTTCTAGACGAGGGGCAGGCAAAATGCAACGTGCTGGAGGCCCAAAGTTTGGTTCTAGTTAGCTCTTGGATGGGAGACCACCTAGAAATTCAAGGACACTCCATGTATGGCTAGGGGAAAAAACTATGGCCAGCTGCTGCCAGTCAGAGCTTACAATTCTGGGCTAGATGGACCAAGAGCCTTCCTTCACATCAAGCAGCTTCCTGTACACCTATGTATATACACATTCAAAAATGTGTATTGTATGTTCGACTATGATTAATGTTACTGATAACCCTACAGAAAGGCATAATCACAAATAAATTTAGGGATGAGAGAATACGAACAATAAAACAGATAACCCTACAGAAAGGCATAATCACAAATACATTTAGGGATGAGAGGATATGAACAATAAAATAACCTGTTGTTGTGGGTTTTTTGGGCTGTTTGGCCGTGTTCTGAAGGTTTTTCCTTCCTAATGTTTTGCCAGTCTCTGTGGCCGGCATCTTCAGAGGACAGGAGTCAGAACTCTGTCTGTACTCTGGTGCAGTTTGCTTGGATAGTTGAGTATTTATACTCTGGTGCAGTTTGCTTGGATACTTCAGTATTTATATTCTGGTGCAGTTTGCTTGGATAGTTGAGTACTCAACTATCCAAGCAAACTGCACCAGAGTACAGACAGAGTTCTGACTCCTGTCTTCTGAAGGTGTCGGCCTCAGAGACTGGCGAAACGTTAGGAAGAACAACCTTCAGAAAACAGCCAAAGAGCCCAAAAACCCCACAACAATCATCACATCCTGGCATTGAAAGCCTTCAAGAATACAATAAAAGAGATTATTGGCCCAGGTTTTATTTAACTGGAAAAGGCAATTGATTTCTCTATCTTGTAACACACATTGCATTATTAAACTTCCTTTCACAGAGATAAAATATACACTGTTCCATTTATTTTAATAGCTGGGTGAAGCTGGACAGGTGGTTGCACAGAACGGTGTGAGCTGATCAGCAAGATAGTTGTAAACCTTTGGGAGGGGGGAGAGAACCCAGCTCTAATCACGCCAACCTACCATGACTGGGAATATAATAGCAGCCACTGTAGACTTCAAAATCCATAGGAGAGCCAAGCACACCACCTGGAGGAAAGTGAAAAGATGGACCCGGCGGAGGGGGACGTGTCTCAGGTAGATAAAGTCAGGCTGGTGCTTGAGAGGCATTAGGAGCAGCTTCAGACGATCCATGAACTAAATCAGAGAGAAGAGGAGAGAAGAGTTGAATGGTGACTTCTTGACATGCAGCCCTGCCAGGTGGGGAGGGGAACAGTCGGTAGTTTTATTTCTAGTGATAAACTCATGAATCAGCAATGTCCTGATTTCATTCTGACACTGAAAAGTGAAAGCTGCAGAATTCTGGCCTCGGGAGTGCCAAGGCGATAATGTAATTTTTCAGCAGCCATGGGCAATCAGCCAAGCCTTTGAAATCAGCCAAACCTTTTTCTTTAAGGTCAGAGATAGCATGATTTGGTTACTGAACCAAGTTAACTTTGTAATCATCACCACCCTTCTCTGCACTGAGCCCCAGTCCCTGATCTTCATCAATGCTAGTTGTCTTAATTCATAGAATCATAAAACCATGGAATAAATGGGATGGAGGGGTCATCGAGTCTAACCCCATGCTCAGTGCAAGGAATACAAAGCAGATCTGACAGATCGGTGCCCCAATTTTTCTTTAATGCCTCCAGTATTGGACAGCACGTTAGCCTCTGGCTTCCCATAACTTGAGCCCATGGTTACATGTCCTGTACTCTGGGATGATCAAGAACAGATCCTGCTTCTCCTTCGTATGACTCCCTTTCAAATATTTGAAAGGTGCTCTCCTATTTCCCCTCAGTCTTCTTTTCTAAAGGCTAAACATGCCCAGTTCTTTCAGTCTTTTCTCACGGGGCTTGGTTTCTAGTCCCCTGATCATCCTTATTGCCTTCCTTTCATTCCAGTTTGCTGGTGGTCCTTCTCAACGTGTGGTGTTCAGAACTGGGTATCTCAGCTATCTTCTCAGTGATAAAAGAGAAAAAAGTGGCAGGGGCTTAATTTCGCCAGGTTTATGAACAGGAAGCTTTGTCCGGGCTTATAAGAACAAAAATGCATCAACACAAATCTTTTCCTAAATGGGTGGCTAGCATCTGAAGAAAGCTAAACTCAGGTCAGATGTTCGACAGAGCAAGGCCTAACCAAAGTGGAGCTTCTGCTAGAAGCAGATCCACACAATGAGTTCTTCTCATAAGTAGATCCTTTGTTTTTTTCCTAATAAATTCTCTATGTATCATTTAAAAATCTGTCTCTGCATCTACCTACAGTGTATCTCGTTTTACCTACAATCTCTTTGCCTTCATAAACTTACACTAAGTTTTAGGAGGGTGGCATTAAATTTGCAGAATTACAACCACTGTCAAGTTTGAATTTCATTCTCTTTGAATACACTTGACAAAGAGGGTGCAGGAGAAAATTCCAGAGCAGCAAAAAAATTTGCATGTAGCGGGGGGGGGAGGTTTGCAAAAAGCAGGGCAGACAACGGAGGGCAGCACTTTGACTCGTCAATTGTGCCATGTGCTTCTGAAGGCAGTGAATGACCTTCTTCAGAGGCATGAGGGGAAAAACACTGGTTAATGTTTACCGCCGTTTCCAGACAGGAGCCTCTGTGATGTCTACCCCACCTACCAGAAAGGCCTGGGTTGCTAAGAACAACACTTACCTGCACTCCGTTGAGGGAAGCAACTCCCATATACAGAAACACTCCATAGAGCACTGGCATGGGAATAAACTAAGAGAGAAGAAGGACAGAAAGAGAGAAAAGCATCAAAGTAGGCCATTTTTCAGACACACCCTGCCATTCACGGATAAGCCCATTAAGACAGAGATGTGCACACACCTTGACTTTCCCACACTGGCTTACGGGATATCTGGTTATTCAAACCATGCAGAAATAGCAATTAAAAACTGCAGCTTCCAGAAATCTAGATGCACTTAAAAGAACTGGCACTGCCTTTTTCTATTCACAAGACTGGGGCATAGGTTTAGAATCTGCAACGTTCTCCTTCCAATACAGATCTGGGAGGTGGGTGGGGGGAGGTCTGTCTCATTCCATACCTTGTCTGTCTAGTCAATTGTGACCACTCTAGGCGGAATATCACATTATAGATATTTTTGGACACTCAGCGACAGAGACTTTAATGTATGAATTAAAGTAGCCGCTTTAAAAAGTGCCATATAGGTGAGGAGGTAGAAGATCTGTGACTTCCAGGAAATACGTTGTCACTGAAGAACACAAATGTGATCTGGCTCTCAGCAATGTCCTAGGATGGCTAAACTTTCATAGCAAAAACATACAAACACAACAAGCTGCAGTAAACATTGTTAAATCAAATGAAAGGTCTTTCTGTAGCATGTTATGTGCGGTCAAATCAAAACCGACTTATAGTGACCCTAATAGGTCTTTCAAAGTACATGAGCTATTTACGGAGTGGTTTTACCAGTTCTACCCTTCACCCCACCCCCAGGAGTTCCCAAAGCCAAGCAGAGACTTGGACCCAGCTTTCCTGAGACCCAGTCTTCATTCTATCCACTACAGCACACTCAGGCAAATAAAATCAATAATATAGAAATGATTTTCCCCCAACTTAGCAATAGAACAATTTCAAAGTATGAAAGCAGGATTACTTCTTAAGTATTCTGATCAGAATAACCCTAAGACACATTTGCCAAAAAGAGAAATTAGCAGATAACATAAAGGAGTTCACTTTCCAGCAACTTAGAAACTTGGAAACATAGAAAACATATATAAATGTGGTCCAGTTAGTGGCCCATTTAACCAACTACCTCCTGTAATTATTGACAGCAATTTCAGGAACTGTCCCCAGATCTTCTTGGGGATGCCAAGGATTCAATTTGGCTAGAACTCAAATGCTCTACCATTAAGCCACCGCACATCCCCAATAGCAGTTTATTGGGATTATTTTTTTTTAAAAAAAAGGCTTTTGCTTAGAACCAGGTAAAATTAAATGACCATAAGGAATCAGAAAAGAAAACCAAGCAATTACCAATAACCCTCAACCCCTTAAAACAATGCATACAATGTTTGTTTCTGGCTTTAAACACCACAAGTGACACAGATTCCAACAATTAGGAAAGAAACTCGCTCTGTTACTTATTTTCTGTTCTAGTTAGGAACACAATGCAAAAAGATTTGCAAACCAGGTAATTCCACACAGGAGAATGAGATAGCAATGGCTTCAATCATTGTTGTCTTTGTAATCACCAAAATGTTGACAACTGCAATCTTTGCTAAGATTAGCACTGAGAAAAATGAGAGAGAGAAAAAGCTCCCGAATCCTGGCAAGCAGGGAGATTTTTCCTCCCACGCTCTTCATATAAGAAAACCCAGGCTGAGTGAGACCAAAAGTCTATCCAACTCAGGATCCTATTCATGAAGTAGAAACCAATGATCGACCCACAAGCAGCACACGAGTGCAAGAGGGCTGTGCTGCCTGCATGCTGCAAAATCAGAAGCCGTCTACAGCCGTGACAGTTAGAAGACATGGATAGCCTTGTCTTCCATCAATTTACCCTAATCCTCTTTTAATGCTAACCAAATGTCACAATATCCTGTGAAGGCAAACAGTTGGGCTCTGTCATCTGTGAAGAATCTGCTCTGAAACTCAGACCATTTGGTTTCAGTGGATGACTCTACTGGGCCCTCACACTATAGGATAGGGGGGAAATATGAGAGGGAGAAAAGCTTCTAACTCTCACACAGAGATAAAATTTATAAACTTCTATTATATCTCCTCTTTATTGTTGTCATGTGGTGTCAAGTTGCCTCTAAATTTTAGCTACCCCACGAATAAGCAATCTCCAGAATGCCCTGTTCTCTAGTGCCCAGATCTTGTAAACTTAACCTGCGATTTCCCTTAGGGAGTCAGTCCATCTCGTATTTGATCTTCCTCTTTTCCTCCTGCCTTCCACCTTTCCCGTCATCATTGCCTTTTCCAGGGATTCCTGCCTTCTCAGGAGGTGCCCACAGTTGGACGCAGCCTCCATTTCACTATTGTTGCCTCCAGAGACATGTTTGTCTCCCTCCTTTCCTCCTCAGTCTAACTAGCCTCAAATGCTATCCTTTAATTCCCTTTGTTTAAAGAACAATGAAATGGCCTAAACGTTTGAGGAAAACACTAAAAGGTCCCTGCAAAGCTTTTTTTAAGCTCTGAAAAGAGAATGAGGGGGGAAATGAGTCAAAGTTATTCGTAACACACATTCCAAATAACACTATGACAGCTGATGTAAGGTTTGAAGCCTGAAGTAGAATCATTTCATTTCATTCCACAAAGGGAATACTATTATGTCCATCTCAGCTCCTCAAGGTGATAAATGAGAGGTAACAAACTGACTCCTAGGTCCCTGAAGCTCTACTCACTCCGAGCACAGTTGCATACTGCAAACATGAACGGGTGACACTGGAACACATGTGTTGCAGAACGGCATGAAAAAGCTTTAATACGACACATGTGAATAGAAGGTTCTAAAAGAAAAGGAGAAAGTGACTAATTCAAGGCCTATCCCAGAGAGGTAGAATAGCAGGAGAAACGTGTAATAACAGACAGCAGCCACTAAGTGGCAGGCCGTGTTTGCTAAACAGCTTTGCAAAACGAAATACAATTACAAGACCGCCACGTCAGGCAAAATCCAAAGAAACAAAACAAAACAAAATTTAAATGTGGCACCTGAAAGACCAACTCTTATATTTTAATGAGAGTGGCTACCTTTTCCAAAATTGCAATACCGCATTTCCACAGGCGGTAGACCTTCAAGAAATCAACATGTCAGAGTCACAACTTCAAGTGTATTCTTTTTCTTTGATTATTTATATCACCGAAACCCTAGCTTTCTCTTGTCCTGAAGACCCATCCTCGGATTCACAGCCAGGATGTGGTGAGCAAAGAAAGTTTTATGTCACAATCACGCTGGAATTACTATTCCTGGATGTATGGTGAGCACAAACCCCAATGACTTCTCTTTTGCGTTCAGATAAACAAACATGAGGGTGCCATGCTTTGAAGAGGTGGTGGGGGAATGTTCATCCCAAACTGTGTCCCCTTCCACCTCTTCGAAGAGGACTATGAAGAACTCCCAGAAGTAGTCCCGGGAGTCCTTTCACCCTTAGGAAGAACTCCCAGGACTACTTCAGAACAAAGGATGTTCACTGGTTATTTCCAAGTGCTCCTGCCTCTTGCCCTCTCAAAAACTGCTGCACGTGGAAAAAAAAATCAACAAGGAAACGGTAAGTGGTAGGAAAAACAGGTACAGGACAAGGCAATCCACACAAACAGCTTCCTGTGTGTTTTGCCTACTGGGATGGGCATATTGCAAAAAGACGCACAGAGGAAAGAATGACAAACTGTACCTCGGGCAACTCAAGAGCGCCGTCAACCCCAACGGTGGCTAATTTTGAGGGTGAATCATTTCTCCGAGGAGCAATTTCAGGTTGTCACAGCTACCTTCTGATCGGCTTCCGTATGACCTTGAACAAACTTCTTAAGCAGCTCATCTTTAGCCATTTCTGTCTGTCGGAGCATGCTTTTTAAACTCCGATTGACCTCTGTCCCCTGACCTTGCAGGTAATTCTGTGGCTATGCCCATGGGCAAAAAGACTTTCCACTTGTTCTTTCTGTTTAGACACCCCAAGGCTATTTCAGGTTGTTTGAAAAACAGTCATTTATATGATTTGGTGGTGTTTTGTTTTTTTTTAAAAAAAATTCCCAAGCCTCCTCAGTTTTTTTCATTCGAGCATACCTTATGCAGGCTACTATTTCAAGGGTTAAGAAATAAACAGCGAGCAGCATTTAACTGCCAGCAAAATGGCCATTGCTAACAGAGTGTATTTTTGGGCTACCCCGCAGCCTACATTGCTCCAAAGGTGAAGAACTGCTGTTTGATCCGTCCTGCAGTCATGCCGGAATTGCACAAAGATGGGATGGATACTCATTTTGCTGACCACACAAGAATGGAAGGCTGAGTCAACCTTGAGCCAGCTATCTGTGAACCTATCGGGATCAAACTCAGGTTGTGAACAGAGGCTTGACTGCATGACTGCAGTTTAAGCACAACACCATGGGTCGCGTTCTTTAATGGGCTACTTTTCTGACTAACAGCTTTCATGGACTTGCCATGATAGTATTCCTTTTACCAGTGAGACAGCAAGGTGTAGTGTCTACACTTCTAGACTGATTTATGGAGCAACCTGCAAAGCAATTCTTATAGAAACAGAGGGTGCCGTAGAGTTTTGCTTATGGCGTTGAAACCGTGCTGATTCAAACTCCTACTGGTGTCAATTTGGGTCATGCTGTTCTAACCCACCGACGTGGCCCCTTACAGCTTGAATGTTTCTCCACCTCTATAAACATCCGACTGAGAAATGGAAAAAGTCTTGTTAAAAATGATAACAAATAGCACGCACACACACCGTAGAGGGAAAAGAGGATGCAGTAGAAGGTCATGAACAGAAATATCTTAAGCAGAAAAAATGAGGGAAGGAACAAAACTGTATTCAATTCTAAGAAAACGCAGCCATGAAAAGAAAAAGAACTTTCATGCTTTTCTATTTTTCTTACCTTCCAAAGAAACCTAAAATCAGCTGATTGCCTTCAGCTCTCACATCATAGTCTACTTTCTCCTCACGTCAATCCTTATTCTCTTCCTATGGCCAAACTGCATGATGCAGAAAGTCCGTAGATGAATCTCCCAATGTCTTTTTTTTCAATGATTAAAAATACCGTATTTTTCGTACCATAAGACGCACTTTTTTCCCACAAAACAGGAGGGGTGGAAAGTCTGTGCGTCTTATGGAGCGAAGAAAACAGATTATATTTTCCTGTTTTCTTCTCCTAAAAAATTGGTGCGTCTTATGGAAAGGTGCGTCTCATGGAGCGAAAAATCCGGTAGCTTTGTAGCTGCAACATTGGATGAAGAAGGCTTAATAATGTTCCCCACTTTAACTGCACTCCACCACTACTTGTGAAACATATGTCATCCATTATTTCATTCTGTTTCCATATGTCTGACAAAGTGGACATGTCCACGAAAGGTCACATTAAAGCGTAACAATTAGTCTCCCTTTTTTTGGTTTTGTTTCTTAGATTCTGCCTGATATGCTTGCACTGATAACTCTTGTAAAACTACAGCTTCAGTTGCCAGGATCAGAATAGGGGTGTGATGCCTGAATAAGGAAAACTGTGTCTCCAATCCAGAACTCCCATGGAGGTGGAAGAGGGGAAACATTTCTTTCTAACCAAAGAAAACAATTTCAGAATATCCCATCTCAAATCTTCCATGTCATACTTAGGTCCACGTTTGGATCTATTTTTTTTTCTGTTGATGTCACTAAATGTAGCATCTTTATAGCAGGAAACACTCTTCTCACTGAAAACACCTCTTTGAGCTCAGCTTTATGGCACAGAAGAGGAAAGATTTCTCAATCTTTTAATCACAGTTAATGAAAGCAGAATTTATAAAAGCAGAGCAGCCTATGGGTTATGCCCCACCAACCCCCGCTCCAATTTCCTTTGCAGAACATTATGCCTACGTTAAGGTAAAGGTTCCCCTTGACATTTAATCCAGTCGTGTCCAACTCTAGGGCGCGGTGCTCATCCCCGTTTCCAAGCCGCAGAGCCAGCGTTTGTCCGAAGACAGTTTCTGTGGTCACGTGGCCAGTGCGACTAGACACGGAATGCCATTACCTTCCCACCGAGGTGGTACCTATTCATCTACTCGCATTTACATGTTTTTGAACTGCTAGGCTGGCAGGAGCTGGGACAAGTGACAGGAGCTCACTCCGTCGTGTGGATTCGATCTTACGACTGCTAGTCTTCTGACCTTGCAGCACAGAGGCTTCTGCGGTTTAACCCGCAGCACCACCATGTCCTTTATGCCTACATTAAAGTCAATGCTAATTCAAGACCGCTTTCAATTATGGGTTTGAAGGCAGGTTTGCTGATATCTCTGAAATCTCATTCTGGTGTGCCCTAATGCAGATATTATGCCCAGCATGAGGAAAGATTAATAGAATCTTTAAATGGAAGGGGTGGAAGTTACACAGAGAAGGATGATCAAGAAGGTCCTTGCAAGTTTTTTTTCTGCAAAATTGGTAGATATGATACTCCTCAACGGTGAGCATGCCAATGGTGGCTCATGGATGGGCTGGGAAGGATGCCTTACATCCATTCAGCTGGGACTCACAAGGCAAGTGATTCTGGAAGGAGAACCTACCATCAACAACCAAAGACAGCATCTCCGGGGCAAGTACAGTATGTGACACAGACATCAAATCAGAAAATTTCCAAAAAAGGAGAATGGGAGAATACAATGTGAGAAGTACAGGCAAAAATAAAAAATATACCACCAGTGTTGCTATCTATCTATCTATCTATCTATCTATCTATCTATCTATCTATCTATCTATCTATCTATCTATCTATCTATCTATCTATCTATCTATTCTCCCTCTCTCTCACACACACACATACACATACATAATCTGAAGCATATGCTGAAAACCTTAACAACATTAAAATTAGCATCTTTAACCTGTAAGCATCTGTAACTTAAATGTTAATAAGCCAAGGAGCTGGAGGCATAACGGGGAGTGAGAAAAGAAGGAACAAAGAATTGTAGAGGATCCAGACTATATTTTCTCATCCATGGCCATCTTGTTCAACAGGAAATACAACATTTAGGATGCTGCATTTAAAAAAAAAACAGTCACAGCACATTCCTTGTGTATTGCTCTGAGCACCAACGCTCAGAAGGGGCGCTTCACATTCTGCTCTTTGTAAGAAACTGTTTTCACATAAATATGCAAATAACAAGAACTTCAGAGGGTGGTCTATATCGAATCGGCCCTTTGGGGGAGCTAAAGTGGGTCCCATATCTGACCCACAGACTGTGGTTTACTACTGCTAGGACCCCCCAGCTATAGTCTCTCGAGACTGGAGGATGCCTATGGGTGGAACAAGAATTTCAGAGGGTGGTCTATATTGAATCAGACCTTTGGGGGAGCTAAAGTGGGTCCCATACCTGACCCACAGACTGTGGAAATATTAAGGTTTACTACTGCTAGGACCCCCCAGCCAGCATGTCTAAATTGGGGACTCGTTGTTTAAAAAAAGAGGAACTGAAAAGGGTAGAGACTACGGTATTTCTTCTGAAACTCAAGCAGAGATCTCTGCCATCACATGCTATCCATGTTGCTTTTTTAGTTTCCCTTTGCAGTCATTTCTTGTGCTATAAAAGTTATATTTCTATATTCTTCCCAATATTTTAAAAGTCTGAGTGTTTATTGCAAGCCTAGCAACTTCCTTATTTTTCAGTATTATGTGGTAGACGAGGTAGTAGTAGTAGTAGGAACAACAACAACAAATTTCAAAAACAATATTTACCTTCAAGATGGGAGCCATGAAGACTGAAATGCCTGTCAGAATGAACACGATCACTCCAGTCACCCTCTGTTCCCTGAAACCAAGTTCAACAATTTTCTACTGTCATGTGGAAGAGGGCGAATCGTCATCTCAAAAACACTGTTGCAACAGGCCAGCTAAGACTACGGAAAAGTGCACTTGGGACATCTTCGTTGGGGACTGTAGATTACGTTTATACTTGAGGAGTAGAAATCGGTTTTGATTTTGACACAAAACATTTCCTTCTACTTAGATTTTCAGGCAAGGTACTTTTCTCACCATTTGCTCCTTTGAGGAAGGGTTGATAATGGACTACACTCCAGAACAGCAGCCCTTTTGAGGATCTGCATCAGCAACAACCCACAGGAGCCAACAAGGCTTTATCAACATTCTAGATGTGGCCACCAACCCCCCTCCCAAAGTTGGGGAGCTCAGATCTACCCCTTACTGTCTACAAAGACTTGCCACAGCTCCTTGACTTCTAAGCAGAAAAAGATTCTTTCTCATCAGTCCGTACTCGTTCCTTTGAACCAGAGAAGCTGGGGAGTAAATCTGGGACCTTCTGAATGGAAAATATACAGTATGCTCTATCATTAAGTTGCATTGCTTTCCGCTCTCTGTGGGATGTTCAGATCATGGTTTCTGGCCCTTGAGGAATGCCAATCCAGATGGCTTCCTCCGTTGTCCAAGGCCAGGACCGGTCCTGTATGCGTACCTGACTCCCAAGAATTTGGGCTGCTCCCCAGGTGCGGACGTCTCCGTTTCCATCTTCAAGCTGTCAATGTGTGCAATGGAGATCACGGTAGCAGCAACGTACCATGGCAGGCCCATGAAGGAACATACAATCATCAGAACAGCCACCCAGAAGAGGTCTAGATGATAGCCAGCTCCTTTCTGAAAAGAACGACAGTCGTCTTATTACTTCTGATGTGGAGGACAGAATGGCTACAGAAGCCACAGGGTTCGGGTTTGCCAGCTTCTGGCCTACCAGAGAACAGCACGTGAGATCTTGAGTTGACTCCACAGGGTGAGGATATACGCAGCCAGCAAGGAAAAGGGTTTTTATTTTTATTTTTAAAAAATCACATGCAAATGTTCGTACGTGAAGAGGTAACAATATAAGGGTTCTTCTAGTGAAGGCAGCACAAGAAAAAAAAAACAGGCAAAATGGTCACCTGTATTGTCAACCGGGGATAAAGGAAATGACAGATAATGGAAAACATATTTACGATTTATTCATTTCTAACATAAACATCATTTCCCCCTCTTTGAGTGTGCTCTGCAAAAAAACTATTATTCGGCTTTTTAGAGGGATTCAGTTTGAATGGGAAAAAAGGCAGATAGGCATGGTTTAATGGGCTGGTGCCTATTCTGTCAGCAACTCCCTGTCTCAGCATATACACACAAATACATAACCTCTGGAGGAGTTTTGTAACTCAATTTGCGGCTTTAAAAACAAAGTAAGGAAATGACATATTTAAACGAGTGTTGTGTACATGTTTAAAAATAAACATTAGCAGTCTGTTCACAGCATGGAGGCAGGTGGGCAGAAGCGATGACTGAACCAGCGTTAAGACGCCTAGAATGTGTTATGCTGTTCTCCCTAGTTCTGTGTTATACAATAAGAATCTTGCACAGCTGGAATGGAAAATGAGATGCCCTGCTGGTCTTCCTTCAACATACCTGTTTCCACGAAACTAAGACCTAACCTGAAAATAAGCCCTAGTATGATTTTTCAGGATGCTCGGAATATAAGCCCTACCCCAAAAATAAGACCCAGTTCAGTGAAAGCCTATCCTCCACCCTTGTGCAGCAACCAGAAGATGACATGACTATATTTGAATAAATGTATATCATTGTACATGAAGAAAAAGTAAAACATCCCCTGAAAATAAGCCCTAATGTGGTTTTTTTTGGGGGGGAGCAAAAATTAATATAAGACCCTGTCTTATCTTTGGGGAAACACGGTAGATCTCCTGCTGGCACAGGAATACAACAGAGCCCATTGGTCTACCTAGAGCAATGTTTTTGAGCCCAATTGGCAGTGGTTCTCCAGAACTGCAGACAGCTCTTTTCTGTTCCTACGCAGAAACAACAGAGATGGAACATATTCTGCATGCAGAACAGATGCCCTCTCACTGAGCTATGGCTGTTTGCAAAGCACATTGTGTGGACTGACCCCGGCACAGACAACTGCAGCAAACAAGCCAAAGGAAAAAAAGGGCTGGGCCAGCAGAACAGCAATGGTGGAGCACATCTGGCAGTGCACTTCTCCTCGGCTTCCAGCCACTGAAATCCAAAACATGCTAAATGAGTGAAGAATGCTAGTGTAATACAATCAGACCATTTGCCTATAAGCTGATATAGCTCAGTGAAGAATGCTAGTGTAATACAATCAGACTGTTTGCCTATAAGCTGATATAGCTCAGTGTGCTGGAGAACCTGGTTGTGGAGCCAACAGGCAAGAGTTCAAATCCCCACTGTGTCTCCTAGGACAGGGGTCCCCAACCCTGGGCTTAGACCCATTAATTATTACGGTGGCCCATAAACCCTCGCCAGCAGAGTTGGTGGTGAAGGCTTCTGGGAGTTGTAGTCCAAGAACATCTGGAGGCCCAAGATTGGGGACCACTGTCCTAGGACAGTAAGCAGCAGGATCATCCAGTGTGTGCAGTTGATGGACAGATGTGCCCTGCCAGATGTGTGGTCTTTGGCAAGCTGCAAGGTCTCAGTGCAGTACCAGCAGGAGAGACTGGTCAAGTGTTTCTGAGTATTTTATACCTTGGGCAACAATGGATAGCACATTCATTTGTTTTCACCTTGCGTATGCTGGGAAATAGTGCACAAATTTCATCCTGATTACTACTACCACCACCACCACCTTTGAACTGCAAAGCTGGAAAGGACCCTATAGATCATCAAATCCAGCCCCTCTCAAGGAGACCCAGTGGGGGAATTCGAACTCCCAACCTCTGGCTCCGCAGCCAGAGAGACCTAAGCCACTGAGCTACCCCACTCAGCAACTCAAAATACTGGAGAAACAGATCTTGTAAATAAAAAAGGCAGCCTTGGGCAGAGATTCTGCAAACTCTGAAAAGAATCTAATTAACCCCAGTATTTGAACACACTGCAGTTCTTTACAGGTAAGCCACTAGGAGCAGAACTTCTGTTTTCACTCCCCCCAACCCCCTGCTATTTCATAGAATTGAAGATTTCAAACACCTACATGAACACTTTATCTGATGCACCTTTCTAAACCTAACTTTCCACCTTTCTTTATATGAGGTCACAGGGCAACCAGGAAAAAAAAACAGGCCTCTTCAATGACACATTTCATCCAAGACCTCAGACCAAACAGAGGGCACTAATCTTGCATGGCACAATCAAGTTTTGAAGACAAGCTAATTATGGGGAAGTGCTAGGAGACAGAAACATTTTCAAAAGCAAGAAAACGGTTTGCTTTTTAATAAAATAGGTAAATAGAAATAAAACTACTAATCTTTATCCCACTACCGGTGATACATGTTTGTGGAGTGTTTCTGTAAGCATATTACTAACTGGAGAGAGAGAGACCAGTTTTCATGAGGGTTTGAGAGAGAGAGATTTCTGTTTCTCAAAGTGGTCACATATTTCTTTCGGCTGACTGTCATTTTCCTTGGTGGAAGATTTTCAGAAACAAAACCAAGCCTGCATAACCTGCTTAGGAGGTAAAAGAAAGAGCGCTACAGATATCCGGAGCAACAATCTCTTGTTTAAACTCTGTGCACCTTCCAGAAAAAGAACCATTGTCTCTCTCAAGCTATCTACTTACTGGATAGTCCTTGGAAAGTAAATACTGGGCATCTATGTTATTTCCGTCTATTTATTTTATATATTTTCAAAATGCTTGAATAAATATTTCAATAGACGGGTATCAATTAAGTCTTTTTAAAAGGAATCTATGACTCAGGCTGATAAAAATTAACACAAACACTAAGCAAGATGGAACACCAAATCTCAGCATGAACAGATTACTTGAATGGTGCCCACTAACAATGTCATGAAAGACATGAGAAACACAAAGATCACAAATCCTATGCTGCTGAACAAGAATCTGTCCCAATCCGCACAGTTTGAATTGTGGTGCTGGAGGAGACTCTTGCGAGTCCCCTGGACTGCAAGGAGAACAAACCTATCCATTCTGAAGGAAATCAACCCTGAGTGCTCACTGGAAGAACAGATCCTGAAGCTGAGGCTCCAGTACTTTGGCCATCTAATGAGAAGAGAAGATTCCCTGGAAAAGACCCTGATGTTGGGAAAGTGTGAAGGCTGGAGGAGAAGGGGACGACAGAGGACGAGATGGTTGGACAGTGTCATCAAAGCGACCAACATGAATTTGACCAAACTCCGGGAGGCAGTGGAAGACAGGAGGGCCTGGTCCATGGGGGTCATGAAGAGTCGGACACGACTTAACGACTAAACAACAACAACACACTTGCCCAGTTGGCTTGCCTGTTTTGTGATTGTTTCACAGTCAAAATGAATTTTACGTGCAATCCTAGCTGTGCTTTAAAGAAATGTACACCTCAAAGGAAAGTGTAGTAACAAGAAATATGCACTTCCTTTAATGTGTAATTTGACCCTTATATGGTCACTCCTCAGAATTCTAAGGTTGGAATGTCAGGGGAAAGAAGTATGTTTAGCTAGGCTGTGGGTTCACAAACTGGTGTAGAGTGTATCTATATATTGTGAATATCTGCCAGTTCTTCCAATATTGTCAGTGCAGATTAATTCCTTTCTACAGTACTGGTTTCACTGGAAGGGAAGCTAGGGTAAATATGAAAAATCCTGGAGAGGAGGGACTATCCAGATTCTGGAATGAGGAGACATAAATGTTCATCAGGAAAAGAATGAAATTCTGGCAAAGTCTAAAAGTGCACTTCCGGTTCACTGCTTCCTGACCCAGAGCCAAAACAAAGACCATCTTTATTTCTTTGGAAAACACTTCTACAGTGGTGCCTCGACTTATGACCATAATCCGCTCCAGAAGATGGATGTACAGTAACTCGAAATGGTTGTAAGTTGAAGCACCATTTCCCATTGGAATGCTTTGAAATGCAATTAATCTGTTCCGGCCGAAGAACAAAATCACACACAAAAAATCACTGCAAGACTCATTGGAAACACAATTAATCCCTTCTGGCTGAAAGGGGAATAAAAAAAGAAAAGCAATCAAGCGTGCAAGACCCATTGGAAATGCACAGAAAACAAACTGACAAATCGGAAATGCAAGAGAACAAAGGGTGCAGGTCGGAAATGCAAAGAAAAACAAAGGAAAAAAGCAAGGGAAGCATGCAGGATCCATCAGAAATGGGGAAATCCCCCAAAAAGCAACCAGACCCCCACGACCCATCAGAAAAGGGGGGGGCCAAAAAAACAAAGAAACCTCCCAAGACCCATCGGCAATGGGGGAAAAACCCAAAAGCAACCAACCAACCCCCCGACCCATTGGAAATGGGAGGAAAAACAAAAAACAAACAACCCCCAAGACCTATCAGAAATGGGGAAAAACACTCTAAAAAGCAAAAAAAAAAAAAAAAAAAAAAACCAAAACCCATCGGAAATGGGGGGGAACCAAAAATCAAAAAAACCCCCCAAGACCCATACACGCACAAAAAA